CGCGCGCGCGCGCGCGCGCACAAACAAAAAAAAAACAAAAAAAAAAAACTTGCAGCGAGGCAATCCATGCACCACCACCTTGGTTTTCATTCTTCCCCTTTCCTTCCGCTATCGGGAACGCCCTGTGATGAGGTGCAGAGCGGAACGAGCTTCTGTATATGCACTTTTCTCAAAGGTTCTGTGTCAGCGAAGAGCTAGAGGAAAGACGAAGATGCTCGTCGCTGAATCGGGTTTTATCCACCAATCATTGGACTTCAGGCTTGCAAGTAATGTGTCTTGGTGTTGAAACCGCCAGGACGCTCTACATGCATTTGGATGCCTTCTGCACCACGTGCATTCAGGCGAGCTCAACAGTCAGAATGTGTGGGGTCTAGAAAGTAGGCAAATGCATGTGGACTGTTGTGTAGTGGAGCAAGGCCCAACAGCTCTCTCTGTGGAATCCTGCTCCCCTTTCTTGTACTAGGAGTCTTACGTCACCCTGCTATTCCTTCCTTCCTTCTGGACTCTCCTAATCGTGGAGGACTTCGCTTGTCAGAGCTCTTGCCGCCGGCCCTTTTTCTCCTGTTGTTATGCCGCCAGTACACTGACCCATCCTTGCAGAAATAACAACTCTTCGCCACGGCACTGTAGCAATGGCTCGGTCAATCGGACCACGATGGCTGGCGACGCCATCAAGAATAGAAGCAGAAGCAAAGTGTGCGGCTGGCGGTTTGGAAAAGCTTGGAACGCAGTAAAGTGTCTCCAGGCCCACGTTGGACTGCTGGTTTAAGCTCGAACCGGCGAGTTCGTTGTGGCGAAAGACTTTTTTGTTTGTCAGAGGCCTTGCTGGCAGCCCCTTTCCTTCCTTTGGTAAGCGGGAACCACGGGTACCTCCCCTAGCCATAATAGTATCGGAGAGAACCAATCGAAAACACGGGGACCTGAAACCGACGCTACGTCCGAGCCTCTTTTTGTTGAGGTGGAAAAGAACCGCCCGCCAAGCTGTGCCGAAGTGCCAGTGTGGCCTTTTTTTTTTTTTTTTTTTTTTTTTTTTTTTTTTTTGGCGGGCGCCGCTAGTGATTTCGCTTTGGTAGCGCTGTTCAACTGAAGAACCCAGAATATTACATTTTTTACTTTTTGGCGTTGCCTGGGAAGGTAATGGCGGTTCAAGTAGCTTATCTACCGCAGCGCTGGCCAGAGAAAGGCCTGCAAACAAGGACCACCATGGACTGGGCTCCTTATTTTCCAATGCTATGGTGTAGGTAGGAACAGGATTGTTTGAGGCCGAGCGCTGGCCAGGGAAAGGCCTGGGCTCAGCGCTCTCCTAGACAAATAAGGGCACTCCTTGAGAAATAAGTGCAATCCTTGAATAATGCATTGTTCTTGGCACTCTGAATGCGGGCTCGCGTTCAAAATTTTGAATATGATTTCAAATGACCTGCTGGGCCGATAGGTCACGTCGTGTAAAGCGCACGATAATTATGTGCTTTCGCACGCGGCATCTGTTACGTTGCAAGGTTATAGTGTGCTGGTGGGATAGCAGTAGCTGTCCCATGTGTAACTCTGGCACAGACCATTGGTGGTGTGGGGGAGGGGTGGGGGGGCTCTCTCTCTCTCTCTCTCACACACACACACACTCAACGAACGATCCAATCTGTTGAGAGAGAGAGAGAGAGAGGGGGGGGGGGTAGCGGTGGTAATATGCCTAATCATGACAATTGGAGTAGCAGGGCGAACCGTGTGTATGTTGGTCGGCTCTCAAGCCGAACCCGAAGTCGGGACCTCGAAGACCTCTTCCGGAGATATGGAAGGTGAGGAGCCGCAGACTCTTGTGTGTGTGTGTGTGTGTGTGTGTGTGTGTGTGTGTGTGTGTGTGTGTGTGTGTGTGTGTGTGTGTGAGAGAGAGAGAGAGGGAGCGGGATGCAGCGCGCACCCGCCCTCCCTGCCCAACTCCTTCCCGCTGCCTCCCTCTCGATCGCACGCGCGTGAGAGTGCACGAACCCGTATGCATGTTTGTGTNCGGGCCAGGGGTTGTGCTCCGAAAGGTTGGCAGACATGGGATTCTGTGTTTTGAACAGATGGAGGTGATCTGGTTCCACTCTTGTTGTTTCTGGTATAAGCTGTGAGTCGTGTCTCTGCAGTTTTGACAAGTTGTGGAATCGCCATGATGACACACAAGTATGTGTGTGCTGCATGGTGTGAGTGATGTGCTTTGGTTGGTTGGCTGTCGTGTAATTGACTGTGCAAAAATCGGGAGATCCTCCATAATGCATACGCACGGTACGCTGTCATCTTCGCATCCCCTTCTTTCCCGTTCCCCCCCCCCCCCCCTCTTCCCCCTCCCTACCTCCTTCCCCCTGCTTTCCCGAAGCGGCAGTATGGCAGGGCTATTTTGGTGCCATGCAAATGGCCAAGCTAGGCTATTGTGCCTGGCTGAGCGAGTGTTCTCTGATTGGTAATGACAGTTGGCGTCCTTGGTGTCATGTGTGCTGTTGCTGTGGTGGGCTGCTTGTTCTGGCGTTTTCTGCATTGAATGGGTTGCATTATCTTTCCATCTGTATGTGGATACTCGGTTGCAGTTGTCGTCGTCCTCCCTCGAGGTTGGCGTCGTCCCAGACACTTGTGTAAGTGACATTTCGCCACCGCAGTCGTATGACGGTGCCGTGGCCTCGATGTTTGAGTTCCCTCCACGGGTGATTCATGTAGGCGCAATGCAGCCGCTTGCGCGAGAAGCAAGGGTGAAGAGATACAAGGAAAAGAGGAAGAACCGCAAGTTCGAGAAGATAATTCGATATGCGTCGAGGAAAGCCTACGCCGAAAGCCGGCCACGGATCAAGGGGCGGTTTGCGAAGAGAGGCGACATCGAGGCAATGGACCACATATACTCGGCTGTGCCCGACGGCGCCTTTGGTGTCGTGCCTACATTCTAAAAGAGATTGAAGAAGAGGCAGGTGTGTCTTATCAGGTGCTCCATTACCTGTGTCACTGTAGTGGTCGCCTGAGTTTTGAAGAAATGGGGAACGGGGGAAATATTAACAATTTAAAGGGGATTGTGGGGTGGGGTATGGCCTTCGGGTGGTGGTCTTCTCTAACAGTAGGATTGCCATGCGAACTGATCGTAAGGTGGACTTTGGGGTGGTGGGCAGTTGATTCACTGAGCAACAGACTGTTCTCTTCTGTAGTATACGAGCTGAACTGAACCGCTTGCATCGGCATATTCTTGCTGCCATTTATTTGTTGCCATTTTTATTTGTCGTTATTCGTCGTATGATTGGTGTGTGTGTCCCCTGTACGCTCTACTTCACAATTGCGATCAAGGAGCATTATAATTTTCTTTCTGAAGGAGAAACTTCTATATGTATTCTCCAGCGCGTTCTATGGCTCTGCTTCTCCTCTCACAGTGCCCTACTGCCTGTGCCCCTCTGCTACTGCTCTTGCACACTTGCACACAAACCCCCATGCCCATGCGCACGCACACGCACACGCACACGCACACACACGTGCACACAAACATATGCACACACACACACATGCACCCACCCAGGCACATACACTCACTCACACACATGCACCCACCCAGGCACATACACTCACTCAGAGTGAAGAGTCAAGAAAACTCTCTCTGAGCCCTGCTGTTTATGTGGACTTGGGTGTAGGAAACGGTACAACACAGACATTCATACACATGCACACATGCACACACACCGTACTAGTATCCTGTGCAGTGGTTTCTGATTTTGTTGGATGGCAAGCATGTGCAATATGTCTGACTCTTTGTGTGTTTATTAAACTTTATTTTGCTAGATAGTGTGATTGCGAGGACCTTTCTAGACTGGACTGAGTTTAGTAGGATGAGATGTTGCTTTCTGAGGAGAGGGTAAGGTATGACTGGAAGAAACTTTGCGTGCGAAGGACAGTATTGTACTGCCATTTGCAATGAGGTCTGATTTGGTGCTTCTGTGTGTGTGTGTGTGTGTGTGGTTGGGGGTGTAATCTGTGTGTGTGTGTGTGTGTGTGTGTGTGTGTGTGTGTGTGTGTGTGTGTG